TATACATATACACATATAAACACACAAATATATACACACATATATACACTTCTTCTCACACACACACACACACGCATATATATATATATATATATATATGCGAATACACAGATACACAAATATTTAAACACATATACACACACACAAAAAAAACACATATATACAGACTGGCTCACAGCAACGCGTGGCAGAGGACAGCTGGTTTATAATAATTTTTTGAAAGTTTTGTTACAGTTCTGAAATTTTCACCACCAGAACTTTAGTAACACTGTAGAAGCAAAGCACCCTAATTTTGTAAGTACTTTAGAACCATGGATTGCCCATGCCTAGTTCCTATATCTTTAATAGTTGTGTTGTTATGTGCCTTCAAGTCATGTTTTTACTTATGTCAGCTCTGAAATGGATCTATCATGAGTTTTTCTTGGCTGAAGTTGTTTAGAGGGGATTTGGCCTTGCCTTCCTCTGAGGCTGAGAGAGTGTGACTTGCCCAAGGTCACCCAGTGGGTTTCATGGCTGAGTTGCAATTCGAACCTTGGTTCCCCAGTTTAAGGCCCCTACTACAATGCCATATAAATTCCAGATTACCAGCTTTGAACTGGATTATATGGCATTGTAAACTCATATAATCCAGTTCAAAGCACATAATGTGGATTATCCCAGATTTTCTGCATTAAACTGGATTATATTAATCCCCACTGCCAGATAATCTGGGATAAACAGAAAATCTTGGAGCAGATCCTAGGATATAGATCCTGTCTGGAAAGCCCCGAGTCTACACTGTCATATAATCCACTTCAAAGCAGATAATCTGGATTTTATACAGCTGTGTAGAAGGGGCCTGAGTTGCTTTCTTCTATGTAAACTTTGATATAACTAAAGAGCTATATTTTCAGTCTGCTCCTCTGCCCTTCACCCCAAACTTTGCAAGGAACACCAGGGCTCTCTCAGGGCCCTTCCACACAGCCATATAACCCAGAATATCAAGGCAGATAATCGAATATATCTGCTTTGAATTGGGTTATCTGAGTCCACACTGCCATATAACCCTGTTCAAAGTAGATAATGTGGGGTTTTATATAGCTGTGTGTAAGGGGCCTCAGACTTTGTCCCTTTTATATCACAGGCAAATAGAATGGAGAAAATGAGCAGGGTTGTCAGATTACATCTGTGACCTGGACTCTGTAACTTTAATCCATGACAGATCTTGGAAAAGTACTGTAAAGCTCTGCCAAACAGAAATAAAATATTTGTCCTCTCTCAATTTCCAAACCCAACTTTCAATGGCTTTTGCCTCAACACTGGAAAGAGTGTGTATGTGTGCAGACAGAGGAGTGCCTAGCTCTATTCTTGTTGATGGACACATAAGGTGCAGCTACACTGTAGAATTAAGATATATTGTCGAAGGCTTTCATGGCCAGAATCACTGAGTTGTTGTAGGTTTTTTCGGGCTATATGGCCATGTTCTAAAGGCATTCTCTCCTGACGTTTCGCCTGCATCTATGGCAAGCATCCTCACTACCTCTGAGGATGCTTGCCATAAAGGTAAAGGTAGTCCCCTGACATTAAGTCCAGTCATGTCTGACTCTGGGGTGTGGTGCTCATCTCCATTTCTAAGCCGAAGAGCCAGCGTTGTCCGTAGACACCTCCAAGGTCATGTGGCCGGCATGACTTCATGGAGTGCCGTTACCTTCCCGCCGGAGCGGTACTTATTGATCTATTCACATTTGATTGTTTTCGAACTGCTAGGTTGGCAGAAGCTAGGGCTGACAGCAGTAGCTCACGCCGCTCCCCGGAATCGAACCTGCGACCTTTTGATCAACAAGCTCAGCAGCTCAGTGCTTTAACCCACTGCGCCACCGGGGGCTCCAAATTGCTTGCCATAGATGCAGGCAAAACGTCAGGAAAGAATGCCTCTAGAATATGGCCGTATAGCCCAAAATAACCTACAATAACCCAGAATTAAGATAGTATGACACCACTTTAACTGCCTCAATGCTATGGAGTCATGGGAGCTGTAGTTTTATAAGCTCTTTAGCTATTTCTATTAAACAATGCTTTCCAAGGCCCTTCCACACTGCCCTATATCCCGGAATATCAAGGCAGAAAATCCTATATGACCTGAGTGTGGACTCAGACAAGCCAGTTCAAAGTAAATATTGTGAGATTTTCTGCCTTGATATTCTGGGATATAGGGCTGTGTGGAATGGCCCCCAAACTACCATTCCAAACCATGGAGCCATGGCAGAAAAAGTAGTATGAAACTTCATTAATTCTACTATGTAGATTCGCTAATGGCCACATTGTGAGACATAGTTGCAACATAAAATTATGTTTGTCTCCTTTGATCAAGCGTTATACCTTGTTCTGTTTCACAATCTATTCAAGACTGAAGTTATAGGAGCATCATTTTAGGGCTCTTCCACACAGCCATATAACCTAGAATATCATGGCAGAAAATCCTACAATATAATAATAATAATAATCTATATAAATAAAAATGTAATGTTCGTTTGTGGTATTAACAGAACTCAAAAACCACTGGATGAATTGACAACAAATTTGGACACAAGACACCTAACAACCCAATGTATGTCCTTCACTCAAAAAAAAATATTTTGTCATTTGGGAGTTGTAGTTGCTGGGATTTATAGTTCAGCTACAATCAAAGAGCATTCTGAACCCCACCAACAATGGAATTGAACCAAACTTGACACACAGTTCTCCCATGACGAACAGAAAATACTGGAAGGGTTTGATGGGCAGTGTCCTTTGGTTTTGGAGTTGTAGTTCACCTACATCCAGAGATCACAGTGGACTCAAACAATGATGGATCCTGACCAAACGCTACATGAATACTCAATATGCCTAAATGTGAACATTGGTGAAGTTTGGGGAAAATAGAATCTTGACATTTGGGAGTTGTAGTTGCTGGGATTTATTGTTCACCTACAATCACAGAGCATTCTGAACCCCACCAACGATAGAATTGGGCCAAACGTCCCACACAGAACCCCCATGTGGGCCACAGCAACGCCTGGCAGGGGACGGCTAGTAATAATAATAATAATAATAATAATAATAATAATAATAAACTTTATTTATACCCCACCATTATCTCCCCCAACAGGGACGGGACGGCTTACATGAGGCCAAGCCGAACAACAAATTACAATAAAATAAGATACAAATTGCAATAAAATAAACAACATAGCATTAAAATGTAAAACATATAAGCATATAAACAATATATACAAAACATAAAAAAAAAAGAAAGCAATAAACCAAACATAATGACAGTGAGCGGACCACATGTACATGAAATGATCTAAAAACTCAGGATGAGATAAAGGAGCAGAATTATTTGTAAGGAAGAACTCATAGAGAAAACAGGAAAATAAACGGAGCTTTGTACAATGGGGGTGTACTCCAAGGACAAGAACGTTGAGGGAGCAATAGCATAAGATTATAGGACTAGTCTCCGAAAGCGCAACGGCAGAGCCAGGTCTTGAGACTCTTTTAAAAGGTTTCTAAAGTAGGGGCTTTTCTGATCTCTCCGGGCAATGAGTTCCACAGTCGGGGGGCTACAGAGGAAAATATATATCCCAGTTCAAAGCAGAAAATGTGGGATTTTATTCAGCTACTAGCCGCCCCCTGCCACGCGTTGCTGTGGCCCACATGGGGGTTCTGTGTGGGAGGTTTGGCCCAATTCTGTCTTTGGTGGGGTTCAGAATGCTCTGTGATTGTAGGTGAACTATAAATCCCAGCAACTACAACTCCCAAATGTCAAGATTCTATTTTCCCCAAACTCCACCAGTGTTCACATTTGGGCATATTGAGTATTCGTGTAGAGTTTGGTCCAGATCCATCATTGTTTGAGTCCACAGTGATCTCTGGATGGAGGTGAACTACAACTCCAAAACCAAAGGACACTGCCCACCAAACCCTTCCAGTATTTTCTGTTGGTCATGGGAGAACTGTGTGCCAAGTTTGGTTCAATTCCATCGTTGGTGGGGTTCAGAATGCTCTTTGATTGTAGGTGAACTATAAATCCCAACAATTACAACTCCCAAATGACAAAATCAATTTTTTGAGTGAAGGACATACATTGGATTGTTAGGTGTCTTGTGTCCAAATTTGGTGTCAATTCATCCAGTGGTTTTTGAGTTCTATTAATCCCACAATCGAACATTATATTTTTATTTATATAGATGTGGAAGGGGCCTTAGATATAGCATGCCAACCCTCGAGGCCATGTGTTCAAATTACAGGAAATGAGATACCACCTGTACATTAGGAAGAACTTCGTGACTGTGAGAGCTGTTTAGCAGTGGAACTCTGTGCCTCAGAGCCTGGTGGAAGCTCCTTCTTTGGTGCTTTTAAACAGAGGCTGAATGGTCATCTGTCGAGGGTGCTTTGATTGTGCTTTTCCTATGTGGCAGGGGGTTAGACTGGATGGCCCATTCTCTATGATTCTATGAAGGATAAGATGAAGAGTATGACTGGTCTCTGTTGCCATTTGGAAGCGTAAAAGAGGATATCTGAGAGTCCTTTGCCCATGGCTAAAGTAGAAGAGGACTTTGACAGGGAGATGCTGAGGGAAGCAGATTCACTTATGCTTTGATTTGTCCAAAGATGAGTCACTGGGCAAAATCGGAGTGTGAACATCCCCTTTTAAACCCTGTTTCCTATTGAAAATGGAGAAAACCCCATTACAGGTTTTGATTTGATTCAGATTCTGACAGATGGTTTTCTGCACCCATTGCAGAGGCAACTCTGTCTTGTAAATGGTTGCCACAGCAGATTTAGAATATTCCACAGCCCCGCTCAATAGCAAAGCAGATCCCTCACCTTTGAGGCATTAGAATAGAGGAATTGCACACCAAAGGATGAGATTTCCAAACCCTGTTTAAATTAAAAGTGTAGTTAAGGATATAGAAAGTTATGCTGCCTGAGTGTTTGTTGATATCTTCATGCATCTCACAAATTTGGTTTCATGCCAGACTCGGAGGCAGTGAAGCAAGCGGCTCTGGAAATGGAGGAGCAAGAGCTAGTGAGCTTGAGGACCGAAGCCTTCACCACCGCTCGAAGTCTACTGACTGCAGCAGCAGATGCAACAGAGAGGGTCATTTCATCTTACAAAGAGGTACAATACAAAGAGGCCACACTTCCCCCAATTTGACACCCACCAGATATACTAGACCAGGGGTCCTCAAACTTTTTAAATAGAGGGCCAGTCACAACGGTTGGACGGCCGGATTATAATTTGAAAAAAACCCATGAATGAATTCCTATGCACACCGCACATATCTTATTTGTAGTGCAAAAAACATTTTAAAACAATACAAGAATTAAAATCAAGAACAATTTTAACAAATATAAACGTATTAGTATTTTAACGGGAAGTGTGGGCCTGCTTTTGGCTGATGAGATAGGATTGCTGTTGTTCTTGTGTGCTTTCAAGTCATTTCAGACTTAGGATGACCTTGAGCGAGGGCCGGGTAAATGACCTTGGAGGGCCGTATCCGTCCCCCGGGCCTTAGTTTGAGGACCCCTGTAGACTATAGCTCTCAGCCTCTCTGGCCAACATTGCCAATGGCTCTTGTGGATGACGGCGAAAGGAGTTTCAGTCCAGCTAAGCACTTGTGTTGGTATGGCAGGCGGTGGGGACCTAGAAGAAAGAAATGATGCTGGATCTACACTGCCATTTAATCCAGATTATCAAAGCAGATAATCTTGATTATCTGCTTTGAACTGGATTATATGAGTCTACACTGCCATATAATCTGAATTTTATGTGGCATTATAGATGGGGCCTGAGAGACAGCCCTGATAAATTTTTTTAAGTGGCATTGAGGCAGTAATCAGCAGGACCTGGCTTACTCAAGGCAGATCAAAGTTTACTCCTGAGCATTCAAGGAGCAAAGCATCCGCGCATTAGCTCCCTCACAGAACCCTGTCTTCTGATTTTTTTTTTTTAATCTGGTGGTATTTTCTCTCACCTACTGATGTGATCTTTTACCTAAGGCTGCTATCTGCTGATTCACAGTGTTTGTGTTGATGTACAACAGTCGAAATACTTTGAAGGAAGCATACCCAAATATACCATCATGTACACATGTTTACACAGTGCTTAAATAATACCCTGAAGGCATCAGATTCCATTTGATCTTGCAAACTAACCAGGGTCAACCTAGTTAGTACTTGAATGGTAAACCACCAACAAATACCAGGTGTTTTAGGCTGTGTGTCAGAGGAAGGAACTGGCAAAACTACCTCTGAGTGTTGTTGAAGGTTTTCATGGCCGGAATCACTGGATTGCTGTGAGTATTCCTTGCCTAAGAATCATAGAATCATAGAATCTTAGAATCAAAGAGTTGGAAGAGACCTCACGGGCCATCCAGTCCAACCCCCTGCCAAGAAGCAGGAATATTGCATTCAAATCACCCCTGACAGATGGCCATCCAGCCTCTGTTTAATACCCAGTGAAGTCTATGAACTTGCCATAAGTCAACAGGCAAGTTGAAGGCATACACACACACATACAAGCTTGCTCAGGAGCAGGTCACATTTAAATTCAATGGGATTTGCATGTGAGCATATAGGCCAAGGGATAGGCAAGAACATTAGTTACAAAAAATCGCTTTTCCAAATTCTTGAAGGGACTTACATTTATTCATTTATTATTTATTATGTACCACACTTGTACCCTGCTCTTCCCATCCCAAAGGGGACTCAGGGCAGCCTCACAAAGACAAAATTCAGTGTAGCATGTAGATATACATATCGGTAAATAAACAACTGCATTAAAATCAGCACAATTAAAAACATAAACACTAAAACATCTGTTAAAATCACAAAATACAAATCATATTCCAGGGCCAATGCTCACTTTTTCTCTAAAGGAAGATCCACATTGGTGTTGTCAACCCTTATTTTGATTTAAATTGAAAATGTTATCTTCTCAAAGAATGTTAGAAATCATACAATTGAACATTCTTGGCGGGTGATTCCCACCCTTCCATTAAGATACTCTTTGTTGGAAGGACATCAGCAAGACAAAACTGAAACATTTTATGTTTAGAATTTCCTAGATTATTAGGACACTGGGAGAACAGTGTTTGAATCCCTGCACAGCTTTGGAAATTCACTGGGTGACTGGACAAGTCACACTATTTCAATCTCAGAAGAAGGCAAGGACAAACTCTGTGAACCAATACTGCCAAGAAAAGCCTGTAATAGGGTCACCTTAGTGCGGTGGTTCTCAATTTGTGCGTTCCCAGATGTTTTGGCCTTCAACTCCCAGAAATCTTAACAGCTGGTAAACTGGTTGGGATTTCTGGAAGTTGTAGGCCAAAACATCTGGGGACCCACAGGTTGTGAACCACTGCTTTAGTGTTTCCTTAAAGTCATCATAAGCCAGTAACAACTTGAAAATACACAAAAATAAGACTAATACTTTTCTCCAGATATACAATGACAATTCCCTGCAAAATATCCCGAGAAGCACTTTAATTACCCGTTGGGCTGCTCTTTACTTTTCGTTTAAAACCCTCCTACTAGATACATCCCATGTTCATGTCCAGCATTTATTTTTAAAGTTTTAACTATTACATCTGGCCCGGCCATAGGTTTTTAAATCCTTGTGTGTTATTGTCTACGTGTGAGTTATATTAATTGTATTGTTTATTTTGCTTATTTCCTGTTGTTTTTATTGATGTGTTGTTGGGCTTGGCCTCATGTAAGCCGCTTGGGGAGATAGTGGCAGGGTATAAATAAATAAAGTATTATTATTATTATTATTATTATTATTATTATTATTGGGAGCCCCCGGTGGCTCAGTGGGTTAAAGCACTGAGCTGCTGAGCTTGTTGATTGAAAGGTCGCAGGTTCGATTCCGGGAAGCAGCGTGAGCTTCCGCTGTCAGTCCTAGCTCCATGCAGTCATGCTGGACACATGACCTTGGAGGTGTCTACGGACAACGCTGGCTCTTCGGCTTAGAAATGGAGATGAGCACCACACCCCAGAGTCAGATATGACTGGACTTAATGTCAGGGGACTACCTTTACCTTTTATTATTATTTTCATCATTTGTGTATCATAGCCATATGCAATCTGTTGCTGCCTATAGAAGTTTTCAGTTTATGCTCCAGATGCAATGAACTGCAACTCTCAGCTTTCCCATCCAACATGGCCACTGGCTGGAAATAATGAAAATCCAGCATGTATGCAGGGCCATGGATTGGCATATATGGTTCCTGGTGATAACCTCTACTTTTGAATTTTTCTGCCTTTGAAGCTTTCTTTGGGAAGTTATCAAGGGGCCCTTCCACACAGCCCTATATTCCAGAATATCAAGGCAGAAAATCCCACAATATCTGCTTATGAACTGGGTTATCTGAGTCCACACTCAGATAATGTGGGATTTTCTGCCTTGATATTCCAGGATGTAAGGCTGTGTGGAAGGGCCCAAAGCCTCATTTTAGGCAATGAATCAGATGCAATGAAGCAGATACATTGCATTATAGAGGCTTCAGGTTTACTCTCAGACATCTCCAGCATAAAGGCTGAGATGATCAGAAAGACCGAGAGTTGAGAAGCTACTACCAGTTAGAGCAGACAGTATTGGGCAAGGCGGATTTATGGTCTTACCTGGTAGAAGGCAGTCTATCAAATCTATATATTCATCTATAGGACTGTAGCAGGAATGGGCAACTTCAAAGGTATACCAGGATCACATCAGGCCTCACCCTACCTTCTGGGCACCACATCCATTTCCTGTTACGCCACTATTATCATTTTGTGGTCTTTACAGAAGTTGGCAACCATAACTAAAATCCAGTTGAACAATGAAACTCTTAAATAACAACTCATCACAATGACCAATAGCCACAGTCATAGCAATTCTGGACTTTTGAGTTTTGAATGTAAATGTAATGATACCTTCTGAGTGTCTCTTGCAAGCACAAACTTGCTTGTTTACAGACAAGTTTCCAGTAGCATAAAGATTAGCAAAATGCTAGAATGTATTTCGAATGTCTCAACCTAGTTGTCAAAGTATTTCATCTCAAAAATATCCCCATTCTGAGACAAAGACTAGAAGAGGCAACCTCTGGCTTTCCTTTCAGAAGTAAGATTCTATGCTTCTTCCTTCCTCTGTTAGGTGACTGAGCTGGCTGGCTATACTGCCCGGGTATATGAGATGTTCCAAGTGTTTGAGGATGTGCAACATTGCAACTTCCGGCGTCCTGGAGAGTTTGAGAAGGGTCAGCCTGGTATAGGGGCAGCAAGGCAGCATGGTGTGCGGGTGGAAGGGCCTCTCCAGATACGAGGTAAGCTATTCTAGCTCTTCTGTGAGTTTGGCTAAAGAAGTGCACTTTCCCTCTTATTGCTGGCTTGATAGCTGCTAGATGGGTTCCCACAGTAGTTGACGCTTTGTACCATCTGACACCACCATAGGATCAAAGCAAGGCTGCAAACATTTGCATGCCTACCTTGAAGGAAAACCATTAAGTCCAATGGGACTTTCTTCCAAACCAATGTTCATAGGATTTAGTTATAGAAATAAAGTGGAATCCACGACATGTGAGTGTGGAGATGAGCAAACCACTGACTACCTACTGCAATGCAACCTGAGCCCTGCCACATGCACCATGGAGGACCTTCTTGCAGCAACACCAGAAGCACTCCAAGTAGCCAGCTACTGGTCAAAGGACATTTAATAGAATACCAATTCCGCAAACTTTGTGGTTTGTTTGTTTGTTTTTTTGATTCGCTCCTGACGCAATAAATAAATAAATACTTATAGAAATCTAGAGGTTGCTGAATGTGACAAAGAAGCATCTTCCTACCTTTGATCTAGCCTTTCTTTTTCCAATTCCTAGCCTACATGGCCTGAGACTCTTGACTGGTCAGAAGACCTCAAGTCCTGGATATCCCATTTAGTTTTCAGTGCCATGAGCAACCTATGTTGCATTTGGCCAATTTAAGCTGCAGGTGGAGTCTTGCAGAAACTAACTCAACTCAAAACCATGGGTTTGGCTTACTGTTGACCTCCCCTTTCTTTGAACAATTGCTAGGGGGGATATTGTTTTTCAGTGCTTTGTTTTATTCATTTGTTTGTTTCTTCCAAAAGTTTCAATATGTAGATAACTAAAAAGAAAACTAGCATGTTACAAATAATAATAATAATAATAATAATAATAATAATAATAATAATAATTTATTTATACCCCGCCACCATCTCCCCAAGGCAGTGTTTCTCAACCTGGGGGTCGGGACCCCTGGGGGGTCGCAAGGGGGTTACAGAGGGGTCGCCAAAGACCATCAGAAAACACATTATTTTGGATGGTCTTAGCAACCCTTTTGGCAGAGAGGGCTGAAGATCTCTTCGCCTATCCTTCTCTTTTTGGTGTTAGTGAACTACAACTCCCAGAGTTCAAAAACAGCCACCCCAACCCTGCCAGTATTCAATGTTGGCTATGTAGGTGGTGTGCCAAGTTTTGTGCAGATCCATTATGGGCTGTTTTCAGAGTGCTCTTTGGTTGGCGGTGAACTGTAAGTCCCAGAAACTGCAACTCCCAAATGCCAAGGTCTATTTTCCCCAAATTCCACCAGTGTTCACATCATGCCAAGTCTGATCCGGATCCATCATTGCTTTAGTCCACAGTGCTCTCTGGATGTAGGTGAACTACAACTCCAAAACCCAAGGTCAATGTCCACCAAACGCTTTTCTCTTGGTCATGGGAGTTCTGTGTGCCAAGTTTGGTTCAATTCCATTGATGGTTGGGTTCAGAATGCTCCTTGATTGTAGGTGAACTCTAAATTCCAGCAACTACAGCTCCCAAATGACAAAATCAATCCCCCCCAACCCCACCAGTATTCAGATTTGGGCACATCACGTATTTGTGCCAAATTTGGTCTAGTGAATGAAAATACATCCTGCATATCAGATATTTACATTGTGATTCATAACAGTAGCAAAATTGCAGTTACGAAGTAGCAAAGAAAATAATTTTATAGTTGGGGGTCACCACAACATGAGGAATTGTATTAAGGGTTCGCGACATCAGGAAGCTTGAGAAACACTGCCCCAAGGGGACTCGGGGCGGCTTACATGAGGCCAAGCCCAACAACACATCAGTAAAAACAACAAAGCAATAAGCAAATAAAACAAAGAAGACTAACTAGGATGTGTCCCCCAGAGATGGTTCTTGTACCTCAATGAGAACCAGGTCTCGTGCCAGATGGCCCTGACGATTCAATGACCCTGATATGTTGATTTTCTGTCTTTTTGCCTTACTTTGTAGTGTGGTGCAAGATTGCAGATAAGAAGAGACAAGCTGTATCAATTGTTATAACCCATAATAACATGTTGTCTAAATATCAAGTCTATGTAAGCAACATATCTTATTATGGGTTATAACAGTTGATATAGTTGGTTAACTGCCATAAGATAAGGGTAAACTAAACCACAAAAAGAACCTCAAACCAGTTTAAATCACAAAAATGATCGCAATTATCCATATCTAGCTAAGTAACAGATGGGTTTTGTGGTAGAAAGTTCCTTTCGGTCTTTTAGTTTCTGCTGCTTTGTGTCCACTCTTATTCTTCTTTCCAATGTTGTGTCTCTTTCCTTTCTCTCTCTCTCTCACTCTATCTCCAGCCGCATGCCTGCTTCTTCTTCTACTATCCCAAAGCAACCTTTTCTCCTTCCATTTCTTCCTTCACATTCTACACTCCTTGCATAGTCCATTCACCCAGCAGTCTATCCTATTATGGAAGTCGGCAGTATGTGTGCTCCTTGTTGTCTGTTACCAGTTGCTTCCCTGGCTTCTAGACAATGCAGTTCTAATCCAGAATCTATGCTTGTGGTTGGTTGGTTGTGTGTGTGTGTATGTGTGTGTGGATGGCAGAGACAGAATGAGATTTATATCCTATCTTTCCACAAAGAAAATAAATGGAGGATGGCCAAAAGTACAACAATTGATAAAGTCCAGCAAGGCTAACACTATCTATTGTATGTCTGCGGATTTAAAATAATGTATATACTTGAGTATAAGCCTAGTTTTTCAGTCCTTTTTTTAAGCTGAAAAAGTCTTCCTCGGCTTATACTCGAGTCAAGGTTTTTTTATTATTTTACTCTATTATTATTATTATTATTATTATTATTATTACTACATTAATCATTTTACTCTATTATTACATTTATTATTTTACTCTTTATTATTGTTATTATTACATTAATAATTTTACTCTATTATTACATTTATTATTTTATTCGTTATTATTGTTATTATTACATTTATTCTTTTACTCTATTATTATTGGAAGGATATGTAAACACATTTACATTGAAGAAGGTTAGAATAATGTTTTAATCAGAGGACAGTCTTATCTTAACGTACAGTTTTATTCAAAAACATTTAATCTACCGATGCCTCAATTAATGCAATTTTATTGGTATCTATTTTTATTTTGGAATTTACCAGTAGCTGCTGCATTTCCCACCCTCGGCTTATACTCGAGTCAATCCATTTTCCCATTTTTTGGTGGTAAAATTAGGTGTCTCGGCTTGTATTCGGGTTAGCTTATACTCGAGTATATACGGTATCGTATTTTTAAAAAATCCTCTAGGTCAAAGGTGTCAAACTGGTGTCCACATGTTTCAGGCACCAACTCCCAGAAGCCCTAGCCAGATTGTCCAGTGGCTGGGAATTGTGGGAGCTGAAGTCCAAAACACCTGGGAGGCCACAAGTTTGACATCACTACAAGTCTAGGATTATAGGACAGCCAAAATCTTTCCTTACTCCCTGGTAAATATCATGAAAATTGAGCCTTCTCTTATATTTGGAACACATGCTCTACCAAATCATGTCCCACTTTAGTAGCTGTGTGTTAGGATTGGTTCTGACAACATACCAAACCACAATTCAGCTTCTTTTATTGTGGTTTAACATGTGTGAGTTGACAATGGGTGTGGCTCTGGATGTATGTACGTATTTCCATACAAGGAGCGGAGCATTGGAGCACTGACTTTCATTGTAGATTTGATGCCCGGTCTTTTCGTCCCTACCCCCCATCCTACGCACCCCGCCCTTTTTTGCTGACAGGACGTGTGGTTGATGTGGATAATGGCATAATCTGCGAGAACATCCCCATCATCACACCTACAGGAGATGTGGTGGTTGCGAGCCTCAATATCCGAGTAAGTAGTCAAGACATCGTCAGGTGGGATGGATGGGTCAGGAAGTCTGGAATAGTCACACTTAAGCTCTCCCCAAAACATGTACTCCAAAAGAACATGGTACATAGAAATCAAGCCCACTAACCTGAATGCATGCATCTATGAATTCAAAAATGTAACTCACTGGTTTAGATTCCTCCTGCTGGATAAAGTGACCTACTTCGAATAGAGCTGTATCTTTAACAGAGCAAATGATAATACAGTTATCAATGTTGTACTCATCAATGGTTTATTTTATCCATGCTTCACAATATATGTACTCTTGGTATAATTTCTAGATCCTATTGTATGAGTCTATGATAGGGTTAACTATTAGCTGCAGCTTCGCCATTCCATGCAAAATCTGGAAACATATCCCCTCCAAATGCAGGGTTGTACCATATCGATAACCACACTGTGACTAATCTTCCCTTCAGATTTCTTCTGATCACATTGCTGTGAAATATTAAATCTATTTCTTCCCCCTCATCATGTTCCTGCCTCCTATTCCATTGACAAACGTGTTAGCAAAGTATGTGCATATTACAAAGTATGTGCATAATACACTTTTGTATTATTACCATAATAATAATAATAATAATAATAATAATAATAATAATAATAATAATAAAAAATTGTTGAAGGCTTTCATGGCCAGAATCACTGGGTTGTTGTAGGTTTGTTCAGGCTATATGGCCATGTTCTAGAGGCATTCTCTCCTGACGTTTCTCCTGCATCTGTGGCAAGCATCCTCAGAGGTTGTGAGGTCTGATCTCACTACCTCTGAGGATGCTTGCCATAGATGCAGGCAAAACGTCAGGAGAGAATGCCTTTAGAACATGGTCATATAGCCCGAACAAAACTACAACAACTCAATAATAATAATAATAATAATAATAATAATAATAATAAGGTGGAGCCCCTGGTGGTGCAGTGAGTTAAACCCCTGTGCCGGCAGGACTGAAGACCGACAGGTCGCAGGTTCAAATCCGGGGAGAGGCGGATGGGCTCCCTCTATCAAGCTCCAGCTCCTCATGCGGGGACATGAGAGAAGCCTCCCACAAGGATGATAAAACATCAAAAATCATCAGAGCGTCCCCTGGGCAACGTCCTTGCAGACAGCCAATTCTCTCACACCAGAAGCGACTTGCAGTTTCTCAGGTCGCTCCTGACACGACAAAAATAAAAAATAAAGGCAAAGGTTTTCCCCTGACATTAAGTCCAGTCGTGTCTGACTCTGGGGGTTGCTGCTCATCTCCATTTCTAAGCCAAAGAGCTGGCGTTGTCCGTAGATATCTCCAAGGTCTTGTGGCCGGCATGACTGGAGACAAGCCTGATCCAACAATTTAAAATATATGACATTAAAATACAAAATATAAAATACATAAACAACAGCAGAAAACAAAATAAAAACAACAACATTATAGGTAGTAAGGTCCTCACTACCTCTGAGGATGCTTGCCATAGATGCAGGCGAAACGTCAGGAGAAAATGCCTCTAGAACATGGCCATATAGCCCGGAAAAACCTACAACAACCCATTGATTCTGGCCATGAAAGCCTTCAACAATACAACAACATTATAACAGAATATGAAAGCAACCTTCGAACTAGCAACCAATAACCCTGCCATAATAATTTCTGGGCACAGGTGGGACTAGTGCAAATCAATTGTAAGGGTAGGGTTGATGGATAAAGTGCAAAGTCAAATGGCAACAGTAGAAATAGGGGCAATGTGAAATGTTGCATGATAATTTTGGATACAGAGCAGCAGTAAAGTGCAAGGACGAGATTTTGGGTCCTAACTGGGTCAAGCTATCTGGGAATTGTCTAGTCAATAGCAGGGTTGAACATCCATGTCTTTAGATGCAGAAAATAGACAAGGTGGGTGCTAGCCTAATCTCCCTGGGAAGGGAGTTCCAGAGCTGGGGAGCCACCACCAAGAAGGCCCTCTCCCTCATCCCCACCAACCGTGCCTGTGACGGAGGTGGAAGTGAGAGAAGAGCTTCCCCAGAAGATCTTAGAGATTGTACAGGTTCATAAGGGAAGATGCAGTCGCGAAGATAGGCAGGTCCTGAACCATTTAGGACTTCATAGGAAATAACCTGCACCTTGAATTGGGACCAGAAACTTATCAGTTCCGACCCATCTCACCTGTCCTAACATATCTCCCCCTGTGAACCATCTCGGAGATTAAGATCATCTGGGGAGGTCCTGCTCTCGGTGCCGTCTTCCTTGCAAGCACAACTGGTGGGGACGAGCGATAGGGTCTTCTCAGTGGTGGAACTCCCTCCCTAGCAACATTAGATTGACTTTTTCCCTCTTAGCCTTCAGAAGAAAAGTAAAAACTTGGCTTTGGTATCAGGCTTTCGGAGAATAGTTCTGTACAATAACAAATTTGGAAAAGGTGCAAAGGGCAAAATGGAACGGCTTTGGACTACGATTTCAGGATGGCGTGAGTTTAATATTGAATGTAGTGATTTAAAATATTGAATATGTATTAATTTTAATGTAATTTATAGAAGTCCCCAGTGGCGCAGTGGGTTAAACCCCTGTGCCAGCAGGACTGAAGACCGACAGGTCATAGGTTCGAATCCGGGGAGAGGCGGATGAGCTCCCTCTATCAGCTCCAGCTCCTCATGCGGGGACATGAGAGAAGCCTCCCATAAGGATGATAAAAACATCAAATCATCCGGGCGTCCCCTGGGCAACGTCCTTGCAGACGGCCAATTCTCTCATACCAGAAGCGACTTGCAGTTTCTCAAGTCGCTCCTGACATGAAAAAAATGTAATTTATTTTAAGCTTAATGTTCTCTATGTGTTTTAAGGCACTGAATAATTGTCTATATGTCAGCCTCCTTGAGTCCCCTTCAGGGTCAAGAAAGGCCAGGTATAAACAGGGCAAATAAATAAATTACTTCATACCTCCTGAGATAAGATATTGGTGCTGGAGAGAAAAAGTGAGTTTTTATACAGTATATTCAGCTCTGATGTGTGCTTATTCAGTCACTGCACCACAACCAGAAAGAGTAGTGGTGTTGGCATCACTGGCAGTTTTTTTGGCTAGAATTCAGAGTACAAAGGATGTGTAGCAGCAGAGCTGAGAACTTCGTTCGTACTAACTTTGACCCTTCCACGGCTAGATAGTAGGGGTAAAGGTGTTTGTGGGGTTGTGATAAGACTTTGATTGCAACATTCTGGCCATGATCTTTTTGTGAGTATGTAGAAAAGGCTGGGAATACAGCAGGAGTGCAAGATTGGATGTGGGAGAGAGAGAGAGTGAGCTGACGTGGGACAGAGATTGCTATTAAGGCCTCGTAAGGGCATGTGGCCCCATTTGGCATGTTGCCTAGCGGGGCTGACAGGTCATGGAGATAGAAAGGGAGGCCAATGATTGTAAAAGCAGGGAGAAAGCCAGTCCTTCCTAACTGGTGCTGGATGAGTGCCTGGCCGCTATGGCTGGCTGGATGAGGAGGAACAAGCTGAAGATTAATCCTGACAAGACAGAGGTCCTCCTGGTCGATCATAAACCAGATCGAGGTATAGGGTGGCAACCTGTTCTGGATGGGGTTGCACTCCCCCTGAAGTCACAGGTCCGCAGTTTGGGTGTCCTCCTGGACTCATCACTTATGTTTGAAACTCAGGCGTCGGCGGTGGCCGGGAGGGCCTTTGCACAATTGAGATTCATGCGCCAACTGCAACCGTTCCTCGTGAAGGCGGATCTGGCTGGGGTGGTCCATGCCTTAGTCACCTCCAGATTGGACTACTGTAATGCACTCTACGTGGGGAAATTCCAGTTGGTTCAATGGGCGGCGGCCACGTTGTTAACTGGTGCTCCTTTCAGGAAGAGGTCAACCCTCCTGTTTAAGGAACTCCATTGGCTGTCGTTCATTTTCCGGGCCGTTTTCAAGGTGCAGGTGCTTACCTACAAAGCCCTAAACGGTTTGGGACCCATCTACCTGTGTGACCGCATTTCTGTATACGAACCCACATGATCTCTTCGTTCATCTGGAGAAGCCCTGCTCACGATCCCACCTGCTTCGCAAGCGTGATTGGTGGGAATGAGGGACAGGGCCTTCTCGGTGGTGGCCCCACGACTCTGGAACTCCCTCCCCAAGGACATCAGTCAGGCCCCAATGTTGGCAGTCTTTAGAAGGAGCTTGAAAACATGGATGTTCCAGTGTGCCTTCCCAGAATAAGGAATCCTAAGCAATACGTCCTAAATGCACTTTATGAGAGACTAGAACTGTCTGCATGCCCACCTATCCCTAAAATATCCATCCTATTTCCCTTGAACATGCCCAGCATTTTTAAAATTTTAATCCGTACATTTGGCCCTGCCGCAGGTTTTTAAAATGCGTTGTGTCATTATTGTATTGTTTTGCTTTGTTATGAGTTATTTATTGTTGTTTGTTGTTGTTATGTTTTATGATGTATTTGGGCTCGGCCTCTTGTAAGCCGCACCGAGTCCTGCGAGAGATGGTAGCGGGGTATAAATAAAGGTTTATTATTATTATTATTATTATTATTATTATTATTATTATTATTTATATTATTACTAACCTTCTCTGCTGCCTCCTTGCAGGTGGAGGAAGGCATGCACCTGCTGATCACAGGCCCAAATGGCTGTGGAAAGAGCTCACTCTTCCGAATTCTGGGTGGACTCTGGCCGACGTATGATGGCATCCTCTATAAACCTCCCCCCCATCGGATGTTCTACATTCCACAGAGGTACCACAAGGCAGAATTCAGATGATCTGCAAGGATGGGGAAGGAATGTGGCATAAGCAGGGCTTGTAATCGTAAAGTTTTGCAATTAAGCTCTCAGAATATATTATCTAGATTAGTCCTCAAACTAAAGATAAGGCCCTCCAAGGTTATTTACCCGGCCCTCACTCAGGGTCAACCTAAGTCTGAAACAACTTGAAAGCACACAACAACAAAAATTCTATCTCATCAGCCAAAAGCAGGCCCACACTTCCCATTGAAATACTAATCAGTTTATATTTGGTAAAATTGTTCTTCATTTTAATTATTGTATTATTTTTAAGTGTTTTTTGCACTACAAATAAGATATGTGCAGTGTGCATAGGAATTCATTCATATTTTTTTCAAATTATTATCTAGCCCTCCAACAGCTTGAGGGACTGTGACCTGGCCCTTTGTTTAAAAAGTTTGAGGACCCCTGATCTAGAGGCAAATTCAGGTTGGAGGATTCTAGGAATTATAGTCCAAAAAGTTTATTTTCTATTTGCATCACATCTCAATTCCGATTTCATTGCAATGGCCTACTTTATGGAGCCCCCGGTGGCGCAATGGGTTAAACCCTTGTGCTGGCAGGACTGAAGACTGACAGGTCGGAGGTTCCAATCCGGGGAGAGCATAGATGAGCTCCCTTTGTCAGCTCCAGCTCCCCATGTGGGGACATAAGAGAAGCATTGCACAAGGATTTATTTATTTACTTATTTATTTACAGTATTTGTATTCCACCCTTCTCACCCCGCAGGGGACTCAGGGCAGATTACAATGTACACATATATGGCAAACTTTCAGTGCCAATGACACACAACAGATATAGACAGACAGTCAGAGGCTATTTAACTTTCCTGGCCGCCAAGGGAGCTGTCGCTTTCATCGTCCATCTGCAACACTGATGAAGTACTTCCGCATTCCCCATATGCTTTTACTGGAGTGCTTTGCTGGTGTTGCAACCCAGAGCAGGAAACTGGACCCTCAGACAACAATCTACCACACTTGACTTCAGGAAAACAATCCTTTTTTATTGATGAAATATGAATACAAAATAGAAGAAATATGCAAAGGTGAAAAGTCACAGTAAAATCAGGAACAAGAAATATCCACAAACAAGATCATGAAATCCACAGCATGAAATCCACAGCGAAACTGCTGAATCCTGGAACCTGTAAGCAATCCATTAACAGTACTTGGAACAACTAGAAAACCTCCGAGGAACAAGACTAGTTTAATCAGGAGACCTGGAAAAGCTGGCACATGAATCTGGAACGACGCCTGGTCTGAAGCTGCATTCAGGCCAGGCATATTTAAGGCCGAGAAATCTATTGCGAGACACAGCCGAAGATTTTGTTTGCATTTCTTTCAATCTGGCTGACCTACGTAAACTTTGTGCTTCACCCCAGCTCTGCCAAATCTGCCCCCGCCTATCCTCATTAGGGAGACCAGGTGACAGATTCTCTGGAGAACTAAGACTGGGAGGAAAAGGGAGTGAAACGTCTCCGCTCGGCTCAGAATGCATGTTCTCATGGAAATTCTGACTTTCACTTTCCAAGGCTGTAGGATTTTCACTACTCAAACCATCATCATCGAAATTGGCCTCAGAATTCACATTGACATCTACATTGGCATCAGGAAATACAATCAGAGAATCAGGTTCAGGTTCACACACAGGTTGAACCCCAACAGCTGGAATCTTTTTTTATGGCCTCATAAATTAATTGAATTAGCCTCCCCACACATAGGTGGTACCTAATTTTCCTACTTGACAGATGCAACTGTCTTTCGGGTTGCAAAGGTCGACAACAAGCTACACAATTGGTTGGACACTCACTCCGACCCGGGCTGGCTTCGAATTCATGACTCTTTGGTCCGAAGTGATCTTAATGCAGCTGACACTCAGACAGCTGCGCCACAATCCCGGTGCAAAGGATGGTAAAACATCAAAACATTCGAGCATCCCCTGGGCAATGTCCTTCCAGACGGCCAATTTTCTCACACCAGAAGCGACTTGCAGTTTCTCAAGTTGCTCCTGACATAAAAAAAACTTTAGAGGACTGTGGGAAACATGACTGAGGGAAGTTCTGTGGGGGAAATGCTTTGGATCCTCTTATGTGAAGGCTAAACATGATATGCCTGTTTGTCCTTCCAATTCTAGGCCATACATGTCTGTGGGAACCCTGCGGGATCAGGTGATCTACCCAGACACAGCAGCGGACATGGGACGCAAGAAAATGACAGATACCAATCTGGAGCAGATTCTGGACATTGTCAACCTCAACTACATTGTGCAGCGTGAGGGAGGTGGGTGCCAGGGATGGGGTGGACAAAAATAGGGTAATGTTGTTGTTGAGTTCATGGAGAATAGCTGGAAACAGAAATTGTGTAATGTTGCCTCCCAGTTGTCTCTCTATGAAGGAGGAAATGAGAGGACAAAAAGGGGATTTGGGAGGATACAACATATGGTCCTGATTAAGTAACCATTGAAATACCATGTCTTTCCATTCATGGCCAGGCTGGGAAGCAGTCAGCGACTGGAAGGACGTGCTTTCCGGTGGTGAGAAGCAGCGAATGGGGATGGCACGGATGTTCTACCACAGGTTAGTCCAATTGTTCTCAACCTTCCAAGTACCGCGACCCCTTAATAGAGTTCCTCATGTGGTGGTGACCCCCAGAGGCGGCCCTAGGTAATTTTCAACGGTAAGCAAACAGTATTGTGGCGCCCCCCCCCCCCCTTCAACCAATCACTGATATATATTTTCTGTTCGTCATGGGAGTTCTGTGTGCCATATTTGGTTCAATTCCATCATTGGTGGAGTTCAGAATGCTCTTTGATTTTAGGTGAACTATACATCTACAACTCGCATATGTCAAGGTCTATTTTCCCACAAGAGCACCTCAAGAGCGCCCCTGGGCAAAATCAACTATACTGCAAATGCTTACTTTGCGTAATGGGTTGAGCCGCCTCTGGTGACCCCCAACCATAACACTATTTTCATTGCTACTTCATAACTGGAATTTTGCTCTTGTTATGAATCGTCATGTAAACATGCAGGGTATATTTTCATTTACTAGACAAAATTTGGCACAAATACCTGATTCGTCCAAATTTGAATACTGGTGGGGTTGGGGGGATTAAATTTGTCATTTGGGAGTTGTAGTTGCTGGGATTTATAGTTCACCTACAACCAAAGAGTATTCTGAAGTCGACCAATGATGGAATTGAACCAATCTTGACGCACAGAACTTCCATGAGCAAGAGAAAATACTGGAATGGTTTGGTGGGCATTGGCCTTGAGTTTGAGAGTTGTAGTTCACCTACATCCAGAGAGCACTGTGGACTCAAGCAAGGATGGATCTGGACCAAACTTGGCTCGGATACTCAATATGCCCAAATGTGAACACTGGTGGAGTTTGGGTAAAATAGGCCTTGACATTTGGGAGTTGTAGTTGCTGGGATTTATAGTTCACCTACAACCAAAGAGCATTCTGAACTCGACCAATGATGGAATTGAACCAAACTTGACGCACAGAACTTCCATGAGCAAGAGAAAATACTGGAATGGTTTGGTGGGCATTGGCCTTGAGTTTGGGAGTTTTAGTTCACCTACATCCAGAGAGCACTGTGGACTCAAGCAAGGGTGGATCTGGACCAAACGTGGCACAAATATTCAATATGCCCAAACATGAACACTGGTGGAGTTTGGGGAAAATAGACCTTGACATTGGGGAGTTATAGTTGCTGGGATTTGTAGTTCACCTGAACCTCACCAATGATAAAATTTGGACAAACTTTCCACAAAGAACCTCCATGACCAACAGAATAAATAAAATACTGTGTTTTCTAATGGTCTTTGACGACCCCTCTGAGACCCCCCCATGTTGAGAAACTCTGGGTTAGTGGAACAACCAATGAAGAGTACAGTGATCATCTTCCATCTAATACATTTGCACCTCCTCCTATCTTAGTTATGAATTGTGTGAGGAGTGTGATAATTTCTTTCTATCATTCTCTCCTAATAGAATCATTCCTCCATTTGCCATGTTGTTGGGAGATATTTTGTAATATAGACAGTTTATGTCCAGAGCAAAGACTGAGTGTCATGTCAAGGAAAACAAGGAAAAATGTGGATGGGTAATGTAAGATCACAGACAAAAGGTAGAAGAGGAGATGCAAACAGTGTTATGAGTGAGAAAACAGGAAGAGGTGAAGAAATGCAATGAATGAAGGGGGAAGACAGAAGAAGTGCAGACTGGGAAACGATAGGTGTGGAATCATAATAAAGGAATGGGGAAGATAGTGTGCTCTGGGTGTAGAATATACCAAGTGAAGAGTCACTTTAGAGCTCTAATTTTAGCTTTTGCTTTTTTCTCAAGGCCTCAATATGCTCTCCTGGATGAATGCACCAGTGCAGTCAGCATTGATGTAGAAGGCAAGATCTTCCAGGCAGCAAAGGATGCTGGGATAGCACTACTCTCCATCACCCACCGACCTTCATTATGGTATGTCTCCCCATGGATTCCAAGCTGGCATGCTATGCTTCTTTTGGTCTTCCTTACCTGGTTCACTGACCTTTCTTCAGTGTTATTTAAAATGAAATACTGGTATATGCCTATTAAACAAATATCCCAGAATGACATGAGGACTCTCAAAGTTACTGAATTTTTATGCTATTTTTACCCTGCCTTTCTCTATCCCAAAGGGGACCCAAGGCAGCTTACCCAGAGGCAATTATTCAATGCCTTCAAACACACCCAATTCCAAAATATTACAATTACATTAAAATTAAATTAAAATGTATTTATTTACCATATCAGGAGCAAACCAATGTATTTGAGAAAAAACTTAGCATTATATTAAATGTCCTTTGACATTTGGACTGCCTCTGGTGTTGCTATAAGAAGGTCCTCCATTGTGCATGTAGCAGGGCTCAGGTTGCATTGCAGTAGGTGATCTGTGGTTTGCTCTTCTCCACACTTGCATTTCGTGGATTCCACTTTGCAGCTCCATTTATTAAGGTTGGCTCTGCATCTCGTGGTGCCAGAGCGCAGTCTGTTCAGCGCCTTCCAAGTTGCTCAATCTTCTGTGTGCCCAGGAGGTAGTCTCTCATTTAGTATCAGCCATAGATTGAGGTGCTGGGTTTTAGCCTGCCACTTTTAGACTCTTGCTTGCTGAGGTGTTCCTGCGAGTATTTCTCTAGTTCTTAGAAAACTATTTCTTGATTTAAGGTGTTGATGTGCTGGCTGATATCCAAACAGGGGATAGGCCAGAGATGTCACTGCCTTGGTCCTTTCATTATTGATTGCTACTTCACGGCGGATGTCAGGTGGTGCAATACTGGCTAGACAGTGTAATTTCTCCAGTGGTGTAGGGCGCAGACACCCCATGATAATGCGGCATGTCTCATTAAGAGCCACATCCACTGTTTTAGCCTGGTGAGATGTGTTCCACACTGGGCATGCATACTCAGCAGCAGAGTAGCATAGCGCAAGGGCAGATGTCTTCACTGTATCTGGTTGTGATCCCCAGATTGTGCCAGTCAATATTCATATGATATTGTTTCTAGTGCCCACTTTTTGCTTGATATTCAGTCAGTGCTTCTTTTAAGGTCAGAGAACAGTCCAGGGTAACTCCCAGGTATTCGGGTGCGCGGCAATGCTCCAGTGGGATTCCTTCCTCAGAGCTTAAGATGCTTGTCTGTTCTTAAGATGAAAATCACATGTCTGTGTTTTAGATAGATTAGGAATTAGCTGGTTTTGTGTGTAATAGGCAGTAAGAACACTTAAAGCTTTGGAGAGCTGTTCAACCATCTCAAAGCTCTCTGCTTGCAGTGATGGCACAATTGTCAGCATACATAAACTCTCCCTTCTGGCAGTGGCTGATCATTTGTGTAAATGTTGAACATTGATGGAGCAAGCACGCTCCCCGTTGCAGGCCGTTCTTCTGTTTTCGCCATCTGCTTCTCTGGCCGTGGAATTCAACAAAATTCCATTCACCCGCTGCATGGGATACGGTTTTTGTCAGCAAGGAACCTGAGCGGTCCTCATCATGGACGTTGTCACGGCCATCTTTGAATTGTCGTACCCACTTACGCACTTTGCTTTCACTCATAACAGTATCACCGTACACTTCACAAATCTGTCGATGGATTTCTGCAGCAGGCAGGTTCCTTGCTGACAAAAACCGTATCACTGAGCGAACCTCACATGCAGAGGGTGAGTTGATAGTCTTAAACATTTTTAAAGCACAGAACTGAACCGTACAGGTTAGCTACAGAGCGGAAACTGAGCACAGTTGTTCCCGAGGCATGCCGGTACACGACTCACGCGCTCGTTGCGGTATGTGCGCGAATTACTCGTGTCTACAACAAAACGGACCTTATTTCAAAAATACCCCTCGTTGTTACATATTTTTCACATTTATATCTTGCCTTTCCTTCAATGGATTTCAATGCAGTTCCACTGCTCCTAGGCTGCCCAACTTTACTCTCACAAAATCGCAAAAGAGAGGTCAGAGAAAAAGAGCGCAACTGGTTCAAGATTACCTAGTGAGTGTCATGGCTCAGTGAGCATTAAATTAACATACAACATTGGGATAAGTAGAATAAAAAGAAATAGAACCAACGCAAAAGTAGAACTACAATAGAAGATGCATATTGAATAACAATATAAGAGCACTACAAATGTTATCCACAATAACAACAGTCACACTAGAACTGAGGTGTCACATCCATATCACAAAAGTCTTCTATTGCCAATCACTACTGAAATGTAAAGAACCAAACATTTTGCAACCTCAACTCCAGTGGTGTAGAGTAGGTCATAATCCTATCAGGGCATCAGACTACTGTAAAAATCACTGTACAGATTAGCTGCACTTTTTCAGAAGATGCGTACATGCAGTGTCTAGGCCAGCCAGTTGTTTTGCAGTTGTACACACACACAATTCTCTTTAATATTTGATTTGGTCAGTGTGGAGCTGAGTTCTGGTGTGACTACTGAAACTCTGAGAAGGCCAACATTTCAGAGCTTTAAAATATTTAGCTCTAGACATGTGATTGGAAGCATGTAGCATATTTCCAAGAGAGGCAGAATCAAGCAATGGAAGCAGTGATGTGATGCGGACAGCCTCCTGAAAAAGGTATAGTCAAGGGGGAGTACTATTCATGTTGTTGGGGCTGAATAACCCTGTTATTGACCTCCAATTCCTCCCCAGTCACAAAACTGTGACAAAATATAAGTCCCAGTCCAACACCATGAATAATACTCCCCCTTGGCTGTACTTTTCTCAGGAGGCTGTCCGCATCACATCACTGTTTCCATTGCTCTGATTCTGCCTCTCTTGGAAATATGCTACATGCTTCCAACCACATGCCTAGGTTAGGTACTTCATTCCTTGCTACAAGTTAATGATTGTTCTGATTGCAGTTGAAGTTGACCAACATACCTGTATATACCCAAGTATCAGCCGACCTGAATATAATCCAAGGCACCTAATTTTACCACAAAAAACTGGGAAAATGTACTGACTTGAGTATAAGACAAGGGTGGGAAATGCAGTAGCAACTGGTGAATTTCAAAATAAAAATAGATACCAATAAAATTACATTAATTGAAGCATCAGTGTGTTAAATGTTTTTGAATATTTACATAAAACTGTAATTTAAGATAAAACTGTCCAACTCCAATTAAACAGTTACTCTAATCTTCTTCAATGTAAATGTGCTTATTTATTTATTTACTTCGTATATATGCAACCCTTCTCACCCCGAAGGGTACGCAATATGCTTATGTATCCTTCCAATAATAATTAAGAGAGTAAAATAATAAATGTCATAACAACAGTAATAAATAGAATAAAATAATAAATGTCATAATAATAATAGAGTGAAATAATAAATGTCATAATAACAGAGTAAAATAATAAATGCCATAATAATAAATAGAGTAAAATAATAAATGTAATAAACATAATAATAGCAGGCGAGTTCCCACCTCACCCATAGCCACCCAGTTTAAGGGCAACAAGGAAGGCTTCTTTGCGAGGCTGGATTTGAGATTTCCTAAGTGACCAGCAGAGGTTGCTGGTGCTCCCCTGGTTTGCCTTGACTGGAGCTGGGACAGCTCAGAGTTTCCTGGGACCTCCTCCTAACACAGCTACCTGATCCCAAATATCCTGAAGATCCCTTTTAAATAACTAAACTGTTCTGAGAAGAGAAAGGAAGCATCTGCCAAAATCCTCCTTCCTGCTTACTTTATGAAGGGACAGGAAGCTGGGTGTGTACAGAATCTGGCAATGCTGGAGCTTGCCCTCTTTCCTCCCAGCTCCCAATGGCTTCCTCTCCTTCTACTCTCTCTGCCTGTTTCCTTCACCCCCTCTAGTCCCTGGCTGCTCTCACAAGCAGGGAGTCACGTCCCCAGCAGGAAGCAGTGGCGGGGGCGGCCATCGCAGTCTCATCTCTGGGGACTGAGAGCCGCTTTGTTCCCGACTCCCCCAGAGACAGCTTGGTGGAAAAAAAGATCCGTCTCCAGGAACAGATGGGCATGCCAACCCCACCCACACATCAGGATACTAGCTGGACCCAGAGGAATGAGGGGCAGCAGCTGGGATGGGATGGCAATGGCTTCGCTTGAGATAGGAGGGAGATTTATTTATTTATTTATTTATTTATCGTGTCAGGAGCAACCAGACAGTTGTATTACATTTTTAACAAAACAAACAAACAAAACACAAAGTTTGCAAGCTTGGTAGTTGATTAGATGTCCTTTGACCAGTATCTGGCCACTTGGAGTGCCTCTGGTGTTGCTGCAAGAAGGTCCTCCATTGTGCTCAGGTTGCATCGCAGCAGCTGGTCAGTGGTTTGCTCTTCTCCACACTCGCATGTCGTGGATTCCACTTTGTAGCCCCATTTCTTAAGATTGGTTCTGCATCTGAAGGTGAACCTGGCGAAGACTGAGATTCTCTGGCATGGCTGCCCGTCAGGTCTGACTCCTCCATTACCCACCTTCAATGGTGCCGCCCTATCTCCATCGACCACTGTTAAGAGCTTAGGTGTCATCCTGGATTCACAGCTGACAATGGAAGCTCAGGTCGCTGCTGCCAGCAAACAGGCCTTTTTCCATCTACGACAAGCGAGGCAACTGGCACCCTACCTATCTGACGAGGCTCTGGCAACTGTCATCCATGCCACGGTCACGTCTAGGCTGGACTATTGCAACACCCTGTATGTGGGCCTTCCGATGTCTATGACCCGAAAGCTTCGTATTGTTCAGAATGCAGCAGCCAGGTTACTAACAAGAACGCCCATGAAATGCCATATAACACCAGTGCTGCAACATTTACATTGGCTTCCAACTGAGTACCGTGGCCTGTATAAGATGCTAGTTCTGACCTTTAAAACTCTTTACGGCCAGGGTCCATCGTACCTTAGGGACCGCCTCTCCTTCTCCCATCATCGGAGGTCGCAACGACCAGCCCAACGTGACTTACTCCATATACCGGGTCCTAGAGAAGTGCACTTGGAAAGGACCAGGCGCAGGGCTTTTTCTATTTCTGCCCCTGCCTTGTGGAATTCCTTGCCGCCCTACATGAGAGCCATGCGTGACTTAGGGCCTTTTACTCTCGCACTTAAGACCTGGCTTTTTACTAGAGCATTCGATCTCTGTTAATTTTTAATTTTTGTATGTATGTATTTTATCTTTTGTAATTTAGCTGTAAATCGCCTAGAGCATTCTCGGATGGAGGGCGATTAATAAGTTATTAAATGATGATGATGATGATGATCTTGTGGTACCAGAGCACAGTCTGTTCAGCGCCTTCCAAGTCACCCAGTTTTCTGTGTGCCCAGGGGGGAGTCTCTCATTTGGTATCAGCCATTGATTGTGGTTCTGGGTTTGAGCCTGCCACTTTTGGACTCTCGCTTGCTGGGGTGTTCCACCGAGTGTCTCTTTAGATCTTAGAAAACTATTTCTTAATTTAAGTCGCTGATACCCAAACAAGGGATGAGCTGGAGATGTCACTGCCTTGGTCCTTCCACTATTGTCTGCTACCAGAAGGAGGGAGATTATAGGCCAAGAACAGTATCTCAATAGCCTCTTCCTTCTCTCATCCTGTCCCCCCACTCCAGGAAATACCACACCCATCTCCTCCAGTTTGATGGGGAAGGGGGCTGGCGTTTTGAAAAGCTGGACCCTGCGGCCCGCCTGTCCCTCCGGGAAGAGAAGCAGCGCCTGGAGCAGCAGCTGGCTGGGGTCCCCGAAATGCAACAGCGTCACAACGAACTCTGCCAAATCCTGGGGGAAGCCACAACAGCCTCTGTGGCAGTGGAACAGGTTTGAGATTTGGATGCCCTGAAATGCCTGCTTCCAGCTCAGTAAGAGGGATCCTGGTCGCTGTGCTCTACTCTTAGGAGCTGCACATGGAGAGTCTGGGATCGCCCCAGCTCAATGAAGGAACCACTCTGTTTTTCCCCTTGCTGGGGCAGTACTCATTTTGGCACCTATTTTCTGTGCACTTAGTAACCTTCTCTCACACCCCTGCCTTGGTCCAAGGCAGGGGGGTCAGTTTATACTGCCAAGCTATGAACTCTGCCCTTCCACATGGGAGCGAGCTTCCTGTAAGCACAGTGCCTAAATATTCCCCAAAGCTCCCCATCCAGTGTGAATTTTGATGTCCTACTGCCAGCCCATCTTGTGTGTCCTCTGATGTTTCAGGGAGGCCTCCCCCCGACACCCTTTCTTTTTACAAGGACTGGCAGTTTGCTTGGACCAGTTCTGGCCTTTCCAAACCAAAACAACTGCACAAATTTTTCAACATGAATCAAAGCCATGAATGTAGCTCTTGCAACTCCCCTCCCTTTGTTCCCTCCTTCACCTGATCTCCACTTTTTGTCATTCCTAGTCTGCAAAATCTAGTTGGACTGCGTGATGCTCAAATCCCAGGCTATTTAGGATCCAACTGGAGGGGGGACGGGACAGGATGGGGGGGGCACAGCAAAACATTGTTCTAGAATCATTGTTTTCAGCTGTACTCTGTGAACCCTTCTGTTCCTTAGAAGCTTACAAAGACCAAAGGCAAAAAAGTTCCGATTTTTAAAACTCCCACAACAGGGCTCCAATCTGGGGCTCATTTTAGGTGTGTTCTTTGGGTGCCATAGTTCCAATTTGCATGGCACCCAAGTATAATAAAATATATAATACAACTGTGTACTACAACCACTGAGTCATAGTGAATTCTCCAAAGAGAAACCTAAGCAGCCAAGAGGTCTTAAAGCAAGATCTTTTGAAAACCACTATCCTAGGACCACTTGAGACACCCATGCTTGGTCACAGTGCCACTTGAGATATCCATACCTGTCCCCATGTCTTTTAGTCTTGAACTTGAATGCTTCTTTATCTTGCCAAAGTAGTGGGCGAGTGTCCCCAAAGATATGCCCTAGGGAGAATATAGTGCTATTTGTGCACTGCTATGGGACATTGTAGTTTCAAATAAGCCAGTCCTTCAAACATAAAAAGGGGATGCAGGAACTCGCAACCCTTGTCTAGAGCAGGCTATACAGTGTGGAGCTTGGAAATCTAATTTGGAGAACTGCTTCCCTGAGGATTCTTGGAGTTGCAGCCCCAAAAAGCAACTTTTCCTTCTATTGTAGACATATTTTACATGCAAATGAGAGGACCTCCATCAATGAAGTTCCATGTATTCAGCTTTCTAGCCTCTCTCCACATAAGGAGGGCAGCAACTTGTCTTTTTTTCCTCTTCCCGTTGTGTGTGATGTGACTGACAATGGGGCAAGGCAAGGGAAAGAAGAAACTACATTTCTTTTTTTTAGAAAATGGTTGTGCCTCCTCCCGTGTAATTTTGGCAGTATATCTTCACACAGATGCTTCTGTTTTCAAACCAACGAACCCTGAGCTGTCCTGTAACTCATGAAGGTTGTTGTGTTGCTTTTGTTGTTTGAATATTGCTACCAGTTGTGTTTTCCATGTGAAGGAACAGATCAGCAACCTAACTGTGATCTACTATAGCATTTGCTGTAGCTATAAAACAGACCCTTTCTGCAATCCCGAGATGCTGGCTTCGGGGGTCATGATTTGAGTCGACAAAGCGCAGAAAGCTTGATATTTGCACCTTGCTGACCTTTCTCTCTCAGCTCTGCCATTTTGCACATGTGGTTCACACGCAGCCATCGCTGCTGCTTCAGAGTGTGCTTCTTCTGATTTAAGTGAGGGAAACATGTCTGCTTAGTGAACTTGCATCCTGTTTCTTTTTTCTGAGGAAGCAATCGTATAAGGCTGCCATTTATACTCAATACACTTGAACCTGATGATCACTTCCCTTCCTATGCTTGGGTTCAGGAGGCTATAAAAATGCTAAATTTCCAAACAGCTGCAGAGTATAGTGGGAATTTTTGAAAGTTTGCAGCATCTTGAGCTATACAAAAGTTTTTAGGCTAGGAATGGGAATCGTACAAGAGCACCACTGAAAAAGCAACTCACCATTGGCAATGCTAGCTAGGGCTGATGAGAATTGTGGTATAACAAGAGTGTTATTCCCCACCTTTTCTGCTTAATGCTATGAGCAACCATTAGGGCCCTACTTATTGACCTGTGGTCAGGGGATACCTTGGGCTTTTGGACTCATCCAAGCAGGCCTCTGAGCCATTGCCTTTTGTCTTTCCTGTGGTATCAGGCAATTACTCCCACAGCTTTTTTTGTTGCTAGAGGCAGCTATTATCACCCTGGTCCACATAAGGTAATTTTGTATGGGCATAAACACAAATAAGCACATAGGCAGAGGGGGGAGAGGTAATTTTGTATGGGCATAAACACAAATAAGCCCATAGGCAGAGGGGGGAAAGGTAATTTTGTATGGGCATAAACACAAATAAGCACATAGGCTGGGGGGGGGGGGGGGGAGGAGAGGGCCACCAAGATGGATCACCCAACACTGTTCGGTTACAGTTCCCTCATGATTTAATCACAGCTAATGTGGGCAATGTATGTATCAACCTCATGGTTACAGGGGTCACATCTCTTGACCACTTTCAGCGCAGGCTGGGACATCTTTCAGTGGTGCTCTTGGGCGAAGGCTGCACACATAGAAGAATGAGGTGATGCGATCAAGAGTGGGTGAAAGCATCTGTTCAGACTCTCATTTGAAAAAGCCTTTCCTAAGAAATATGTGCAAGACGTTTCCTTGCGAACTCAACTGGTGGGAAACAGAGCAGGCTAAACCCTGATTTGGCTGTTTTCTACTTGCAGAGAGTCTGCATGTCTGCCAGAATTCTAAAAATAAAATAAATCTGGGTTTCCCAATCTGCCTTTTGAGGTTGCCTTTCACTTTCTGCATATGCAGTTATAGCTTTGGGTTTCTTTCATTTCTGCTTTAAAAAAAACCCCAGAGATAATTATATCTTAATTCCTTCTTTAGGTCGTGAAAAGTAAATTTGGCAATGCTGTTTTGTTCCTACTTCCTCCCAGCTGCTAGAAACTCATTCTTTTAGCTGTCATTGCTGGTGGGACCAAGAGTGATTTGCGTCCCCTGTTTTCCAAATTCTGTTGTAGTCCTGACCATATAACCTCATCCAGCCAACTCCATCCAAAGCAGTTAAACTGAGCCATTTTCAGGTGAGTGCGAGCCCACACTACCGTTCCATTGGGATCAAGTCTCTGTCACCCACTTCATTGTGGCTATGAAGTCCCCATGAGACTATGGAAGGAGCATACAGGATTTTGGATTCGGCTTAAGCTAAATGTTAGACCTGAGAGAAGAAGGTTCAACTTGTTTTCTTCTGTGCTTTACTGTACAGGTTCCTAATTTATTTAATTGCAGTTCACCTGTCTGTCTCTGTGTTTTGTAAGATGTTTTTAAAATGCATCGTTGAATCCTTTTGGGGCAATCTTTTGAGCCTGCCACCCACTGGATGCCCTTCCTAGAATGGAAATCCCAAGAAGCCAATAGTGAGTTTTTATTGCTTTATTTGGGGGGATAGAAAAGCCAAAGTGTGTGCCATTGAGATTGAATGTGTGTCAAAATAAAGATTCTCACAGAGGAATGAAGCTGTCCCCATCTGTCACCTCTGATGTTAGAATTTTACAAACTATGCAAACAAAGTTTTCTGTTTTTTGTACCTGCAGAACTTCTACCCCCCACCATGCCCTTTTCTCTTTTCCTCAGTGCCTTTGACCCTGGCAATAGCCAGGTTTCTTCAGATAATAAAAAATATTATATATCACAAACAGCTGTCTGTGTGATTCTGAATTCAGTGGTGGGTACTGAACTCTATTTATTTTTATTTATTTATTTACTTTATTTATATACCGCTTTTCTCAGCCCTCAGGCGACTCAAAGCGGTGAACAACATCAATACAAAACATCACGAGACAAGTATAGGGCAATTAAAAACAATTATAACATAAATCATTAAACATCCGTATATAGCGCCTCAACAGTAAAATCAGAATCCAGTCTCATCATCCATTATTCCGTATTCCTATGTTCAATTACACTGTTTAATCAAATGCTTGTTCGAACAGCCAGGTCTTCACTTTCCTCCGAAATGCCAGCAGGGAGGGGTCCGATCTGATATCTGCAGGCAGGGCGTTCCACAGCCGAGGGGCCACCACTGAGAAGGCCCTGTCTCTTGTCCCCGTCAAGCGCGCCTGTGATGCAGGCAGGACAGAGAGCAGGTCCTCCCCAGATGATCTTAGTGTCCTAACCGGTTCATAGGAGGAGATGCGTTCAGAGAGGTAAGTAGGGCCAGAACCATTTAGGGCTTTATAGGCTAACACCAGCACTTTGAATTAGTATGACCTCTGCCAAGTATAGGCGCAATCATAAATGGCACAGAGAGAGAGAGAGAGTCTAGAGAAACTTCCATTAAAATTTAAAATTTCAAAAAATGTAGAAGGTATTTTTTTTGTCATGTCAGGAGCAATTTGAGAAACTGCAAGTTGCTTCTGGTGTGAGAGAATTGGCCGTCTGCAAGGACGTTGCCTAGGGGACGCCCGGATGATTTGATGTTTTATCATCCTTGTGGGAGGTTTCTTTCATGTCCCCGCATGACGAGCTGGAGCTGATAGAGGGAGCTCTTCCCAGATTTGAACCTGTGACCTGTCGGTCTTCAGTCCTGCCAGCACAGGGGTTTAACCCACTGCGCCGCCGGGAGCTCCTTAGAAGGAGCTCCATCTTATGAACTGTAATCAGCATAGTTTTGGGTCTAGGCTGCTTAACAAACCGTATCTCTGCATATAAACCTACACTGACATTGCGGTCATCAGAGAGGGCCCTGTTCTCGGTCCCACCTCTGACTCAAGTCCGATTGGTGGAAAGAAGAGAGGGGGCCTTCTCCGTGACTGCCCCCTGCCTCTGGAACTACCTCCCTTTGGAAGAAAGAGTAGCTTCCTCACTCCTCTCCTTCAAGAAGCAATTAAATACACACTTCTGTACACTGCTCCATCTTATGGCCTTCGTAGAGGAGGAGGATTAGCTTCTATTAACTTATTATACTTCTATTCTGCCTGATGAGGCTGACTGAGAACAGATTGCCCTAACTCAGTGGTTCTCAAGTTGTGGGTCCCCAGATGTTTTGGCCTTCAACTCCCAGAAATTCTGACAGCTGGTAAACTGGCTGGGATTTCTTGGAGTTGAAGGCCAAAACACCTGGGGACCCACAGGTTGAGAACTACTGCCCTAACTCATTGCACAGCCATGTTTTTATTGTACATTTCTCATGTTGATCCTATTAATTCACTATGTTATTTTTGGAACTTAATACTTGTTTTAATTATTATTGTGTTACCTGGGAATTTTTAATTACTTGTTTAAATTAATTTTTACTGCTGTTTATCTCCATTTTGTTTTTGTCTTTGTAAGCCACCCTGAGTCCCTTCGGGGAAAGAGGGCAGGTTATAAATAATGTTGTTATTGTTGTTGTTGTTATTATTATTATTATTATTATTATTATTATTTTACTGACACAAAAACACATTATGTCACAGCAAACGAGATCTATATGCTGAATTCGTAGCACAAAATCACAAGTCAAACACTTCCCAAGCATCTAGGACGGTGTGCCACCTTGTCGTGGTGGGGGGCTTAACTGCTCCAAGGATGCTGAGAGCTGTGGTGGTGGTAGTGTAACTACCAGCAGATCCAACCAAGTCAAAGAGGTCTCAGCAGTCTCAGCTGAAGAGTGGAACTAAGAGCACCTAACTCATTAGCACTATGGAGAAACAAACCAAAACCAAGTCCATATGCCCAGAATAAAAAGGACCGCAGTGGATGCTGCTGATTCTGGACATCCATCGACAAATGGGCTACAGAAACAAAATACAAATGAACAATCACAGAAGCGGCAGAAATATAAATGCCAGAAAACCGCACTATTACTATTATTATTATTATTATTATTATTATTATTATTATTTTACTGACACAAAAACATAGTATGTCACAGCAAACGAGATATATATGCCCAATTTTGTATCACAAAATCACAAGTCGAACACTTCCCAAGCATCTAGGACTGTGATGTATTTTCGAATGATGCGCGCAGATCCAAGTAAGGTGGCCTTTTGCAGTTGACAGATCGTGATTTTGTCAATGTTTATTGTTTCCAAATGCCG